GGTTTTAATTCACTCAGACGTTGAACTATGAATAATAAGTTGTACATCAAATCAAAGAAAAGAAGCAGAGCGTACCATAACTGCTTATTCATTATATATAATAGAAAACCTCTGCTATTAATCCGGTTTCGATTTTTCTGGGACCCACTGTTTATTGTTTTTTCATAAAATATGAATGGCCGATCACGAACGTATACTATATCTTTTCTTTTCGTATGACCAAGGAAATGATGAAGATTTTACTTAGATTATACCCTTGCATTCATTCTTGAATCGGTGGTTATTGATATTGCATGAACAAATTTAAATGTATAAGTTAATTGTCTTTTTATACTCCTTATACTCATATTTCTATCATATAATGACTAGACACCTCCTTCACTTTGTTCTATGGCATAACCAGATTTTGGAGTTCCAACCCCAATATACCGTGTGGGTCAAAAAAAAGTTTACACCTAGAAAATTGCTAATTATTTTAAAATTCATCTATGAACAGTAAATTATTATACATCTCATGAAAGAGTGTTTATTCCAAATCATTTGGTATCATTTTTGTGTTGTATGTGTTCACACTTGGATGAACACGAGGCATTGCGTGCGAGAGTGCAAAAATCGACTAGAGCCAAAGAGATGCGTACAGTATGTATTGTGTTGGGATTAATGGAGTGAGAGAATGAATTAGATGTATCAAATGAAATGCATTGCATATGCTTTTTGCAAAGGGCAAAGTCACACCACCCACACACACGCGCACAAATGTTCGTTGATATTTGATATTCGATATTTTATATGTGTGGCATGATTAATTTTGTTAGGGATGTTATTTGGATCTGCAAAGACCGAATTAATACCCCAACCCAAATTGTTTTATTCAAACATCACATAAGCAACTTTGGCGCAAGTCGAATTTTGCACTCTCGCAAACAATGCCTCGTGTTCATCCAAGCGTGAACACATACCACACAAAAATGGTACCAAATGATTTGGGATAAAACACTCTTTCATAAGATGTATAATAATTTACTGTTCACAGATGATTTTTTAAATAATTAGCAATTGTCTAGGTGTAATTTTTTTTTGACTCACTCTGTAGTACTTACATACTTACATTAGTAATTTACATATTAATTGTTTTCTTTGTATATACATGTACCTTTCGTTCTTACTATAAAAGGCTTATACATTGTGCTTGCTGATATTTGTATTCTCATTTTAAATTGGTTTTTGTAATGACCGTATTATGAAGAATGTTCTATTGTGTACCTGTCCTTAACTTGTATAATTGATACCTTGCTTGGTACCACACTTAGAGTAACGTTGGCACTCTTGGTCATTTACACTAGCCTGCTCAGAATCTGAATTTTAAAAAATGTGTTTTTTTTTCATCACGATCGTACTTCCTCCTCATACCATACTTAGCTAGACTATGAATAGACCCATTTAGTATTTCCTGATTAATTTGTTTATCTATATGTACTTTCTTGTGATAGCATGAGGCTCAATGCCATAGTAGGTACATGTATTGAACAGTACAATGACTATTCACTTTATGTGAAGTAAGATATACATGTATATAGGAAAGAATAATTTCAAGCATACTTGGTTGTTATCTTTTTGTTCATTATTGTATTTCATCTTGTTTATATTTTTCCTTTCTTTGAGATTGACGTAACAATATGAGAAATCAGATATGTGTATATGAAGGATCAAAAGTAAAATTGTTTAGTTTTGTCAGATTTATGTTAGACCTACCGTAGCATGCGTCAAAAAAGTGTTAAGTTCAAAGATTTGTTGGTTCTTAAGGGAAGTTGCTTCAGTTACTCTATAACTTTCAGTAGCATTTTACATATTTTCATTGCTCCATTATCATTGCTCCATTATCACTGCTCCGTAAAAACTATAGTATAAACAAAGAAGCAAATTGAAAGGATCCTAAATAGATTGTTCAAATACAGTAGTACATGCAATGAAACATAAAACTTTCTTATTTGTACAAAATGAACCAAATGGAATGTATATCAATAAATGCAATTATGCTGTATATCAATGAATCATTTGTCTTTCTTTCTCTTTATAATAAACCAATTAAGCAAACACTGTGTGTAATGCATCTGTTTGTACAGTTTGACCTAGATAAGAAATATCAAAATGCATACGTTGATACAACTGTATACGAATTTTATATGTACAATACACGGTACATGTACATTGCATAAACTGAATTGCTATGGAACATGTACATGCACATCGTAAGAAATAAAACCTTTCAATTCCATCGCTCAGTCTTTTCTAAGATATCATAAATAAAATGACAGCTACATACCTCCTTGCTGCCTTCTTGCATGAGAGAAAATTTACACAATTTGCCAGGATGCAACAAGAACTCAAAGATTGACTCTCTGGCGGATCGAATTTTGTGCCACCTTTTCACATCCAAATCAGTGACCACATGGTACTTGACGAGTTTCAGAACGATCACAAGTAATAAGCTGGGATTAATTTGTGATTGGGGTGCCGCGAAACTTTTTTTTTCTTCTAAAAAGGGCGACTTAACTGTAAAAAGAAGACAAGCGGATAATGTTAGAGAGAAAGAGGGAGTGAGAGGGGTAGATAGAAAGAGACAGAGACAGAAAGCGACGGAGAGAGAGGGGTAGAGAGAGACAGAGAAGGAGTTATAGAGAGAGGGGGGAAGGAGAGAGAGATATAGATAGAGAGAGAGAGAGAGGAAGGAATTTCGGCTTTAAAAGAAATACAGAATAATGTGAAAAATCAGAAGATAAAAATTATCAAGTCTCAACAAAAAAACAAAAATTCTCAAACATTTCTAAATCTTGACAAAATATGCTTTTAAAGATATACAATTTTACAGTAATTAAGTATCCTCACACTATTTCTTTAAAAGAAAATTGCGTGTGCTTTCTATAAAAGCAATAATCAGCTCCACAAAATTAAAATATCATTTGCTCTACTTCCACATGTATGTCCTAATGCCCTGGCTGCCAACAAAAGAAGCATACATATTGAGTTCACAATAATGCCATGAATTTAACTGTTCCTTGGAAACAGAGACTTGGCTTCTTTGGACACATTGTAAGAGCAAACGATATAGAGTAGGATATTGGCAAAGTGCAGGGTAAAAGGAGAAGAGGAAGGTAAAAATCAAGGCAAATAAAAAGTAAACAACTATACTGCAGTTAACTGCTCGATTTATATTGATAAATTAGATTAATGACTTAATATAAGGAAACCTTCCAATATGTTGTGTATCTTTCATCTCAGTTACATTCAAGTGTTTATTACAACTTATGAATTACATGTATAATTGCCCAGATATCTTGAAAAACAAATGTATAATGTCGGATTATTCACCTACATGTGTTTTACATTTATATTTATATTATTGTTATACTAGATGTTTAGTGATGATTTAATGAGTAAATTTAGTTCTATAGAGTTTGAATCCTTGGGTTTTATAATAGATTGGACACAAACTAAATGATACTGAAAATCGTACATGTTCGTTAAATTTCATGACACATAGGAGATACGGGAGAGTTTATATTCCTTTTTTTAAATCTGGATTTAAAGTTATGAGAGTGCAGCTAGTAGCATGCTGTAATATAGGCCACTTCAATTTCGAGATCATTGTGTATGGATGTATTACAAAAACATTACATATGAAGCTTGTAAACATCAGCCTACTCAATATGTGGATAAAAAAAATAACTGAAGCTATATAGACACTACAAAAAGAGAGTGGCTTTAAGTGTACCTAACCATATGCACCCGTCCTCAATAGTTTCAGGTGGTGGTTCAACTCTTCTGAATTTCAGGTGTTATGTGTTTGTTTTTATAATCGCCTGTACTATTTCTACATGTTTGGAGAAATTATTTAACCAGGTGATGGAATTTGTATTCCTTTTTAGCATAAGCAGGTGTCCATGTGGACTTTTTTCTCCACACACACACACACAAAAAGCTTGTTAAGTAAAGTTTTAAAATCTAAATTTCAATGAGCAAATTGTAATGCATGATAATGCTTGCTTTGGTATCACATATATTCAAATGATCATGATAATGATAATACGTTAGAATAAACTACAATATCTGTACATTTATAGTTTTAATGAATTATGTGGAGAAATATAATGTATTTGGTATCTTCCATCTCGGATATACGTATACCAGTGTGTGTACCATTGTAAGGTGATTACAGAATTAGTATTAAAATGCATTATAATCATGTCAAATTTGATCTAATTTAGTATAATTTTTGGTTTATTTTACAGAAAAGGGACTATTACCAAACTCACTTCAAAACTGATTTATATGCAGCAGTGATCGATGTACATTTTTTTTACCTTGTATATTTTTCTTTCTTTTTTAATGTGGAAAATAAAATAAATGAAATGAAATGAAATGGCCACATTCAAAATCTTTAAGTGTAGTGTGGATGAGCGCGGCCAGACCACCATGCATGATGCAGGCATGTATAGCGCATTATGCCAATATTTTAATGCTCAACCCGTTTCAACGCAGTTGGCCCTATATCATCCAAACTTAGATCAATCCTGAAAATCCATTGAAAAGTTAAATCTTTTTGTTTTTTAACGAGAATTTAACTCTCATCTCCTTGGCAATGTACACAAAATCGTTGTTCCTGTATGTCCCCCTTCTTTTTTGACAAAACATGGGGGCATTTGATATGAACCCCCCCCCCCCCCCCCCACCTAGGAAAAATCGTGGGGGACGTTTCCCACCTGTCCCCCCTAGATTGACGCCCATGTTATTGCATATTTAATATATAAGCCCGACCATCTGTCATCAAACCACAACCATCAACCATATCCATCCTGTGAACATCGACAACAAAAACAAAATATTCGACAGAAAGTTCTTGGGTTATGTCATTCAAGAGAAGTCGTCGTACAAACACACACTCATCGTCTTAACTTGTCATCTAAAGTCTGAAATAGCAAGATTAATCTATATTTGTTGAGATGATTCGTGCGTCATGTCTCCTGCTTCTAGTCCTAGTCTCGCTAGGTTTAGCCGACGAGCCTGAGGGCATGTTGGACGGGATGCCGTCTGGAGCACCAGATCGGGGTCGTCCCAAGTTAGATATATTTGCTCAGGGACTGACAGAGGACGAGAAAGCAGCAATGCTGGCCCTACACAACAAGGATCGTGGTGAGGTGTCTCCTTCGGCCTCCAACATGGGTGAACTCGTAAGTTTTTTTTCCCTTCGTAAGACTTGCAGTTTACTTGTTCACAGCCTCTTCTTTTTCTTGTTTCTTGTTTTTACTGATGACTTTTTTTTATTTGGTTCTGGCGAATCAAATTAGCAATAATTTCATGACTTTAAATCTCAAAGAAAACAATCATTATTATCGATAACTGTAAATTTAGGAGTACAATACAGGTACCTGCGGGAATCTAAACAGGGGAACATTTTAGGACCCTTACTGAAAATATTTCAGATGCCATAAAGTTCAGTACCATTTTAAAGAATGCTGACGATACCTGCATATGCTATATTTCAGATAACACAAATGATTTATTTTTAAGTCGTTATTTGCAGGTGGTTGACGTGAAGTGAAATGTTATTGAATCCTACAAAAAAAAGGGTTTGTTTATTTTAATCTAGTGCTCAGTGGTAGGATCACATTACGATTAGAAGTTGATAAATGCAAATATCGGATAATGATTTTCACTTCGTCACTTAGTTGGAATATCTAAATCAAATTCGACGAGACAAAAGAAAAGAAAACTTTGTAGGCTAACGTTTTTAAACTGTTGTAAATGTATATCACACTGAATACTCTCCCCCCCCCCCCCAGGGGGGGGGTACTCAAATATAAAGACAAACAGGGGTGAGCCGCTCTAATAGGTAACTTTTTACATGCAAAAATCCCTAAACACTATGGGTCCCACTTTTAACAAAAATACCTTCTCGCCTCTCATTATTGCCCTTTTTTCTTCTGATAACTGCCTCTTTTCTTGTTTGATAAGTGAGACCGCTTCCCTTTCTCATAAATGCCCCTTTTCACACGTCTGATAAATGCCTCTACTAAAATATCAAAGGGGTCCCTTTCCTTTTGACAGGTGCCCATTTTTAACTCGGGTGATTGCCCCTTTTCAGGTACAAGTAATGCCTTTACCACCTCCGATAAGTGCTTCTTCACCTGTTATGATTGCCTCTTTTAAAATCTGAGATGCATCCCTCTTATTTTGACAGTTTTTTATGTGCCTCTTTTCATCTCTGGTGAGTGCCCTTATCAAAATTTTAAGAGGTGCCCCCTTAAACTTTGGAATAAGTGCCCCTTTTCATCACTAATAAGTGCCCTTTTTTGACACGTTCCTCTATCCTTTTTAATACGTGCCGTTTTTCTTCTGATAATAACCCCTTTTAAGCTTTTATAATTTTTGGTCAGTGCCCCTTATCAGGTGCGAGTAGTGCCACATTTTCACCTCTGATAATTCCGATTTTTACTTTGTCACGTGCTCCTTTTTTTCTTCTAATTGTTGTCCTTTTAACTTTGGATATGTGCCCCCTTTTCCTTTCACCATAAAATGTGCTCCAAATATATAGGAACTACGAGCAACCTTTTCTTCAACTTACCAAAAGCTCGCTCGCTGCGCTTGCTGGCATTTTATGTTATTATGATTTTGTTACTTATCAAAGATCTTTATAGTCTTTCATGATTAATATTATTTTGTCCTCTTTATATAATGTATTTTTTTTAAATGCGAACCGCTCACAAATCTAAAAAGATTTAATCACAATGAATGGGTATAAGGACCTACCAATGCATAACAATTATATATTTTCGCTTTAAAGGTTTCCCTTGTAGGTGCCCCTTTTTTCTCCAGAAAGTGCCCCTTTTTGTTGGTGCCCCCCCCCCCCTACTTTTAAAGACACTACGCCGCCCCGGGATTTAAATGGAAATTTGATGACAGCATAACATGTTGATGTGACCTAAGCATCGCAAGATTTAATTCGATACAGTTTCAGTTATTTACCATTTTAAATCACAAGTACATACTAGGTAAAATAACAGCAATAAAATCAGAATATGAAATGGTAGGATATCATGAAAGGCGAAGTGCTTGTGGCCAGGGTCCCAATTGTTTTAACTCATAGCCTGCCATAAGGCTGCATGCACGCTATCGCTATGCTGCTTCGTACATGCGAGAGAGCTACCTATTGAGTGCCATGTGCGTGCAATGCAGCATTCGTAATAGCAGTTATCGTTCATGCTCATTGGACTGTGATGAAACCAATTCGGGTTTCGACCTGGACATTCTTGTGAAACGGCATTGTTATGCATGATCGATCATTGGGCCAGCAATGTAGATAAAGGAAATGTTAATGGTCTTGCTTTTATTGATTTTAGAAAAGCTTTCGAGACGGTAAATCACTCAATTCTGCTACATAAACTTACTCAATATGGTTGTTCTGAACAGAGCATACGTTGGTTCCACTCCTATTTAGTAAATCGAAAGCAATTTGTTACCATCCAAGATAAATCCTCGGTTGAGAGGGATGTTCGGTCAGGCGTGCCTCAAGGCTCGGTATTAGGGCCACTTCTATTTATTATTCTGATTAATGATCTACCCCAGTATCTAAGTTCATGTAGTGTGTATATGTATGCAGACGATGCAACACTGTCTGTAAGTGGAACATCTATCCAAGAGATTCAAAATAAACTGAATCACACAATGTGTAAACTCCATGAATGGACATTGATGAACAAAGTGATTTTAAACACAGACAAGACTAAAGTCATGTTGGTGGGTTCACACCAAAGGATTAGTACTTTTGATGATGCGACCTTAAAGGTAGATGTAAACGGTAAGCGACTGGAGTGTGTCTCAGCCTATAAATGTCTAGGTGTTACTATTGACGTAAATCTCACGTTTAGTAAACATGTTGAAAATATCTCCCTCTTAATCAAACAGAAACTGGGAATTGTACGCAGGCTCCGTGAATCTTTAACGCAATATCAACTAAAACAATTGTACTGGGGCTATGTATTACCGCATGCTCTTTATTGCTGCACTGTATGGTCTAGTCGATTTAAATACAATGTCGATATGCTAAATAAACTTCATAAAAGAGCAGCTTATATTATTTCTAGACAGTCTTGGCACATTCCGTCGCGACAGGTCTTGGATGGCCTAAAATGGCCGACTCTTAATGAATTGTTCGATAAGGCCACTTGTTGTCTGGTTTTTAAATGTATTAATAATTTAGCACCTCCAGCTATGTCGGATAAATTTGTATTATTAGATGATGTTATGCAACGCACAACTCGAAATAGTAATAAGAATCTGTTAAAACCTTTTAAGTGCAATACTGAATTTTATGCTAACACTTTCGTGAATTATGGCGTTAAAGTGTGGAACAAACTTACAGTAGAAGCCCGACTTTGTTTAACTCTCAATGTATTTAAACGGATGATATCAAAGAAGTAACATGTTTTTAAATTTTCTTAAACTCGTTTTAAATTTGTATCCACTAAATTGGATCTGGGAGAATTATAGGTTCTCTGTCATTTTTATCATAAATCCTGTATCTTGCTGAACATTGTAAAATCTGACCTTTCTTGCCTTTTTACAATATAATATGAGCGGTGTCTCACTTCCTGTTTTTTTTTTAATACAAAGGTCATTTTAACTTCTTATATTGTATCATTATTTACCTTTAATATGGTCTCACCTTTACTATATATATTTGTCGTCGTATTTGATTTTATACTCTATTTTTTCTCTCACTTTATTAAATATGTAAACATTTTGCATAGCTATTTGCATTTTTACAAAGCAAGGCAACATGAAAGATCAGGTTTTTGTTTTTTTATCGTAAATTATTTCATATTGTTAGTTTTACTTGTTTATCATTGTGCTTTGATTTCAATATGCTTTGTGTATTCAATTTGTTGTCTTTTTCTTCCTACTGTTATATGTATGATTTTGTTTTGATAATTTGTATAAATGTGTATTTTTATTGAGACAGGGCCTTATGGAAGACCAGTTTTTAATCTGAATGAGATACCCTGTATAAATATGTGAAATAAATAAATAATAAATAAATAAATGTATGTGTTTGCACTCGCCATTCATAGAACCATCGCGTTGATCAGATTATCTCCAAAAGAACCTGGCACGGGGGGATTTGGGGCTTGGCACAATGGGGATTAGCCCTGTGGCATGATAAGAGTTAAACAGAATCATAATGAAGAACATAACATAGATGATTATTATCTGTGTCAAGTCATTATGTATGGAAATTATTTCTTTAATTATTTGTATATGATGGAATTTGTTTTGAAAATAAAGAACCCTGTGGAAGGGGAAGAAAAACAAATAGTAATATAATATTCGTTTTCAATCCACCAGCAATGGAACGACGAATTAGCGAAGGATGCCCAGGACTGGGCCGACCAATGCATCTACAAGCACAACGGATATGGGGATCGCAGAACAAGCCAATGGCGTTGGGTTGGCCAGAATATTGCGGAAGGAACAATAGGATTCTTTTCTGTCCTCACTTTCGTAGATTGGTGGAACAGCGAAAAGGACCTCTACAATTATGCCGACCGCACATGTGAACCGGGCAAAGAGTGTGGCCATTATACACAGGTATGAAAAATGCAAATCTCTAATATTATTTTTAAAAGAGTGTCCTTAGATTTACATAATTTAGGGGCCGAACTAGGATTTCGCGTGGGGGGGGGGTGAAATGTGTTAAAATAATAATAACTACGAATCTAATAGATAGCCTTTTCTTATCAAGATAATGACTTGCAGTTTGACTTTTTCCTTTAACTCTGTCGTCGCATGTAGTGCACTGAAAAGATTTTGTAAATTCATGGGCGCCTCAACATGCATTAAAGAGTAATTTTTCTATATTATGATATACCGCATACCACGATTCTCTGATTGGTAAAAAACTGCTGGTATAAAATTCACTACTGACCGCTAGGCAGTGTAGCAAAAAATAATTGACTCGGCGTATTCCAACTAGCGATCAAAGGGGGTGTAGCATATGGCAAATACTTGTTAACGCCATCAACGACTTCTTGTGGACAGCTGCACGTAAACGAATGGACTTGATTAACGGTCAGCGCGCGCAAGCGTTCTCCCCACGCTTCAGCCTCGTTAATGTTGCGTTCGCGTCGTCCGTAGTCATACCCGATTGCCCCTAAGTCAGGCCACGGGAAATTTCACACCTGGTTCAGATAACCCGGGCTATCCTTAGCCCGGGCTAAGAACCGGGCTAAGGATAGCCCGGGCTAAGAAATTTGTTTTCACACCTGGTAAATTACCCCAGGGTTAACAGCTAGCAATTGGGGGGGGGGGTAAAGCGCCGCTAGCGCCGCAATTCCTGCGTTAACCATTCTCGGGAGCAGGGCCAGCTTAGCCCGGGAACTTGCGGAGCTAACTCACTTTCGAAAATCAGGTGTGAAAACCCCTCTTAGCCCCCCCCCCCCCCCCCCCCCCAAAAAAAAAAAAAAAAAAAAAATCAGGTGTGAAAACGGAATACTGTCTCAAATTCAATTTATAAAACGGTATACTGTCTCTACTCAATTTATCAAACAATACAAAATGTATCTGTAATAAATACACAGATTAGAAAGTGAAAAAGGGAGTTGCCAGCATGATATCATTGACGACGATTACATGTTTAGGTAAAACAATTACCTAACATCGTGTTCTGAGGTCATATTTATTGCGATTTTATAAACTTTTATTCACAAGCGTGTTGTTGAATTATTATTCGATTGATAAGGTATGTGTGGATCTGTGTAAGGTTAACTATTTTTTATATTTTTTTTAAGGGGTTGTTATTTGTTATTTGTTATTGTCATGTCTGTTCCGATTTAGGTTCTTTTTTTTTACGACTATATGTTTGTATGATCTATTTTTTCTCACAATAACAGACGTATGCTTTGTCTATACCAAAGGAAACATCTTAAAAAAATCATTGTGGAAGTAGGACTTCATGTGCATTTATAAAATTATCAAATTTAAGAGATTATTTGTATTTATTAGTATAATTGTATTAAGTGTTATCATTTTAATTTTACTCTATTTTGTATCTTAGTTGTCCAATTAATGTCTTCGATTTTCTTTGTTGAGAGAAAAAGAACAAAATAACATTCCAAATCAACAATAATATCAACAAAATCCTCCCCCCCCCTCCCCTAATAAAAAAACACCGTGACAGCCACTGAGGAATGGGCAACTCTCTTTGCAAGCACAGTGTGCGTTTATGTGTGTATGTGTATGTGTGTGAGTTTGTGTATGTGTAATATGGACAAAGGTGTGAATTGATACTTGATTTCTGATGTATTTCTCTATAGTTTGTATTTTTAGGTTTTCATTTCTTGATGAAGGATATAAATCAAATGTGCCACGCACTCTTTTCGAGGCACCTGTAAAGTGAGGGATCTTCGGTGACTGGTCCCTTGAAACTAGCGCTAAGCCGGTCACAGAGAATTTATAATTTCAACTGAAGCCTCTTATTGCATGGTATATTTTATTTTGTATGGACATATGGTCTATGATTGGAACGATGGATGCGGTTTCAAACAGCGTTTGTGTATTAAGTGGATTTACCATATTTAGATTCTGAATATTGACAGCGAATTGAATCATGTTGAAAAGGATGAAGGTCATGTTTTTACACGACAATAATTATTGTCAAGTAATTTATTCTCTCTCTCTCTCTTTCTTGCAAAATGAAAATATGAATATAACCTTGGGCTTTGATTACAACAAAATGAACATTTTATCAAATGTTCATTCGAGAAGGATACGAATGCAATTATGTTAAAATGTGACATGGTTTTTATAGAGCGATAATAAATCAATTCTTGGACATTGATTGATTCGTTCAATTTAACATGAGTGGTGGCTTGTCGGTTACAAACGGCAGGCTTCGATATCTACTTAATCTATCAAACAATTTAAAATCTAGCTGTAGTAAATACACAGAAAAGAAAATTAAAAAGGGAGATGTCAGAATGATATCGTTGACGATGATTACAATTTTGAATTTAAAACATGAACTAACCACGTGTTCTGATGTCATGTTAATGGTGATTTTATAAAGTTTTTTCCATCAGCGTGTTGCTGAACAATTTGTTCAATTTATAATGTGTGTGTTGATCTGTGTAAGGTATAATATTTGTTTTGATAATTTTTTTGAAGAGGGGGTGGATAAGGAGAGTTTGTGAGAAAAAGTTAGAAGGAGGGCAGGGGAACCATACATCTCTCGTCTAATTTTATTCCTCTTTAAAAATTGTCATTTCTGTTACGATTTAGGTTCTTTTCTTTTTTTAACGACTATATGTTTCTATGATCTAGTTTTTTTCAGAAGTAAGCTTTGTCTATACTCAAGGAAATGTAATAAGAATTCATTGTGAAAGAAGGACCTCCTGTGATTTCATAAAAGTATCAAATATAAGCTATTATTTTCATTTATTAGTATAATTGTATTAAGTCTTATCATTTCAATTTTACTCAATTTTGTATCTTTTATACTCAATTGTGCAATTAATGTATTCGAAATTATTTGTTGAGATAACAAAGGAAAATAAAATGAAAATCGAAATCATCAATAACATACCCCCCCCCCCCCCCCCCCCACTAAAAACACACAGTCGTTGACGAATGGGTGATTCTCTTTGCAAGCTGGCTGGAGTGATGGATGCGGTTGTTTTTTTGAAGTTGGATCTACCATATTTAGATTCTGAATATCGGCAGCGAATTGAATCGTATTGAAAAGGATGCAATTCATGGTTGTACACGAGAATGTTCAGTCAATATATTCTTGCATCAATAAAATATGAATACAAGCTCTGGCCTACTGAGACTACTATCACAGGGGGAGGAGAGAGAATCTCTCCCACTTTGCTTGCCAATCAGAGTTGTCACACATTCCCTCTCTTAGAACGAAGGTCTTGTTCACATTTATAAACCACTTGGTATACCGTGTTTAAACTTCGCTACAGTAAGTCCAAGCAAGTGACTACAGGCTTGTTCACACCCTAGTTGTGAAATGGTATCCACACACACGCACACACACACACACACACACGCATACACAGACACACACGCACTGCGATTTCATGAGACGTTCATTCATATCATAAACATAATCCTATTCTTCTACCGATTCTATACCTTCAAAAGTGTTTAGAAAATATTGAAGTAGTATACACACTTATGCACTTGCAAAACTAATCAATTCGTTATACTGTTGAATAACAATTTACCTGCGATATATGTATCTGAACACTAAAGACAAGTATATCAGCATTAACACACTCATACATATCCTTGGATGCACATTTAAATTCAACGCCTATGTACAATCTCATTAGGAGATTTGCTACACTACGCGGCCGATGATCTAATAACACATAGTCAATGAAATATTTGGACATTGAAAAAAATCCAACCCTCCTTTTACATAACACGTACAAGTAGAAACCATAATGGCAGGTTTTTCAGTCTTCACCTAAAATCGAAATTTTGACCACGATCCCGTCTTCTGATCAAACATGTTATCGTAGTACATTCGTAGGGTAAGTTCTAAGCTACAAAATAATTAAATGTGGGAGACATCAGATTAGGGATGGACGAGATAAATTTAAAACAACAACGGCACATATTACCTAATCAAAACAAAATCATTAATTTTCATTTAAATGGCACTATGTTGACATCAGAGCATTCTGAAAGCAAACTTGATACATGAAATAGAACCTTCGATTCATACCCTATCAGGACATGAACGAAAAATTGGGGGCCACTAGCCCTTCAGAAGGGTTATACGGATTCAAAATATGTACTTTTTGACCACTTTTGGGGTTTTTTTTTTTTGCATTTGCACGCGATCACCAATTTTGAGGGTTAACTAACGTTTTTTAGATAAATGTAGGTCAATAATGGCTAAAAAAGTGATTTCATATTGTTAAGAATAGTATCAGCAACACAAAACAAGTGACGGCAGACGCGAAAACACACGCGGATGCGTCCGCGCGCGCAAAATTGTGAAATGTTCAAAAAGGTCAGAAACACTGAAACGTGGTCCACTAAGCAATTTGACCAATTTGTTTATTATTGACTTACGCGTACGCCATGACGTGCGCACGGACATGGGTGTTACCAAAACTTCACCCATGATATCAAGTTCATGCATATCAATAAGAAATATCAATGTATGACTGACGGAAATATGGTCAATATTAGAAATTAACAAAATGGCGGCAAGGTGGCAGAAATCAAAATCGCTACAGATCACCTTTAACAAGTTTTTAACACAACTTAAATGAACCGTCGCGGTTTTCCTCGGTATGTGTGAACAATTTTGGTAAATTTCCCAACAATAATTAATACTTTTTTTACGGAATATTTTTATATAATGTTCCTTTTGAAAATATATGCGCGGAATGTGGTCTATATAACAAATAGTGACTTTCGTGCCCCAGGACACAGACTAGTTCGCGATCACATCGGGCAATAATTTCAATCGTGCCCCTCAAAGCAGTTAATATAAAATCATGCGAAAGGAAGTATTATGGATCATTTGACAGTAACAGCAGAAAGTTCATTTTAATATTTGTTGTTGTCTCTTC